TAGAGGAGAATATTCAAAGTGCCATGGGCTGCCAAAAGAGACAATAGATCCATTTTGGAAGAAGTGCAGCCAGAGTGCTCCTTGGAGACCAATATGGCCAAACTTCATCTCTCATACTTTGGTCATATTGTCAGGAGGGACTAGTTGCTGGAGAAGGATATCATGTTTGGTAAGGTGAAGGGTCAGAGAAAAAGAGGAAGACCCCCAACGAGATGGATTAGCCAAGTGGTAGCATTGATAGACTCAAGTGTGGCAACAATAGTGAGGTTGACTCAGGAATGGGCAGTGTTTTGTTCTGCTGTGCAAAAGGTCGCTATGAGTTGGTATCAACTCGATGATACCTAAAAACAAGAATTCGTGGTAGAAGCTCCCTAGAGAGTAGTAGGTCCTGATGGATCACAACAGAGGTTCCCAAAGGAGGTAAGCCCTGCAGACTCTAGGAGCACAATGGCTGAGCATTTGTTCAGGAATTCTAGGACTGGAATCTTCGAGATGCCCTAGAGGAAAAAGGAGAGTCATGAAAGCATAACAACAGGTGAAATAAAAACCATAGAATTTGCCTTTCTAACTCAATCAAATGATGGCAGATGAGAAAGAAAGGTTAGAGAATTAACAGTGAAAAGAGAGACACAGTGAAAACCAGAAATATTAGGAATGTAAATTTTCAAACTGCACCCTGGACCTACTGAATCAGGATGGTGCTCAGCAATCTGTGTTTTAACAAAACCTCCAGGTAAATCTGATGTCGGCTCAAGTTGGAGTATGTACTACACAGAGAGAAATAGTGGGAAGGAAGAATGGAAGGATAGAGTGGAGTCAGATAAAACAACCCTGTGTACTTTAATTTATTCATTTAAGACTCTGCCACATTCCAAAAATGAGCTGGAAAATGACAATGTAGGGAATTTTCTATTTTATTCTGCAGGCAGTGAAATTGGGATTTTCAGGCAAGGGGTGGGCTGACAAAACTCATTCAATGATAAAGCAGAATTCTGACTGACTCTCAAACAGGTAAGGAAGGAGGCCTAAGGACAGAGGAAAATTTGGTGAGGGTGCTACAAGCCATTTCTAGCATCTTTATTCCCTGTCATTCAAATCATGCTCCTTAAGGGAATTAATGTCCAAAGACAAAGATGCAAATGGTTTGTGTTTGTCCTGTAACTTAAGTGTGGGTGGTTAGATGTTATCCAGTGGTGCCATAGAAGAAAGTCTTGGTCATCTGCTTCCATAAAGCTTGCAGTCACAAACACCGCATGGGGAAGTTCCACACTGTAACACATCGAATCACCATGAGTCAAAATTGACCCAATGGTAACTTTTTCTTTTTTCTAAGGGGGTTAATGTGCAAGGACACTTTTGGTAAGTGGAGGAGTGTATAGAAGGAATTATCTTTAGTCCTTCATTAGAGTGAAAAATAGTCTGCCAAAAGGAAATAAGTACTCTCTATAAAACTACCATTGAGTCTGAGGATTGTGTCATCATTCTCAGTTCTTCAAAAGGGCTATTGGTCATACCCAGTGAAGGAGGCTTCCTGCGGAGCCTCTGCAATACATAAGACTATAGGTAGAAGCCTGAACCACATCCAGATCTCCAGAGATGGGAAATTCCCACTTGAAAGGATGAGCAGACCAGCCTGGAACGGCTAGAACAGAAGATACTTCTTAAAAGAAAGACCTACAGGAAAAATACAAAACAGTAGAGGCAGACAGACTGTTACTACAAGAACAAACACGTTGTTTGCCCAGGAAACATCAAGGCAAGTGGTCGGGTCCCCTCAGTGCAAACCTCCTTCCAAGATTAAGACTCAATGGGAATACACGCTCCGATTGGTGACCATACTCGTCACCGATAAGGGCAAGTGAGGGGAAAACAGCAATGAAGCGGCGAACTAAGCCCTACAATGTGGAGAGTGAAGCATTTAGCTGATGAAAAGAGAGGGCATATGCACAAGAACACCCACACTTGCAGATAATACCCACTTGACCTCGCTTCAGTGACTGGATGATCAGAGCTCAACCAGAAGAAGAAAGAAGAGGAAAAAAAGAGTAATCTGATACAATTTGATGAACATGACTGACACCTATGGATGCAGTAGCTCAAAAGAGGCAATAAATCCTTACAGCAAGAATCATTCCCACCCCCTCCACACAGAGTAGACAGGGATGGGCAACTTGGACATTGGCTACCCAAAATGGGGCGGGGGGGTGGCTACAAAGGCAAGAAGTTACTGGCTTACAAGCTTTCAAGAGGGAACCCAGAGCCATAGGGCCAGGAGGAAGGCAGAATCTCTAGTGGGTAGTATCCAAGCTGTCTAGGCGGGGCTGATGAAATGAAATGCAGATGGGTCTGTTGTGATACAATAGTGAATAACTGTTATCAGGACTGATTGTGAGGGTTGGAAATGTAAAGGTAGACGTTTTATAACAAGGAAGGGAGTGATTAACTTTCCAGTCTAGGAGCGGAGGTCCCTAGGACCATCAACGGAGAAGAGCCGAGAGTGGGACCCTACCCAGAAAAGCAGTGTTGTCTGAGATAGAGGCAGAGATGATGATGCAGTGGGGGACTTTAGATCCAGGGAGGGAGAGGGACTGTGTGCTGAAGACCAGAAGGAGGGGTGTGGGGGGCAGGCTTGCAGGATATAGCCTTTGGTTGGTTGATGATGCATGGAGGGGAATGTAACAATGGCAGTGAAACGTTATACGAAAGAATGAATGTAAAAGTAATGTTCTCCCATGTAAACTATCACATAACTCACAATAAAACATTTAAAAAAAAGGGTTGTTGGTGAAGCTAGTAACCAAAAGTACATTCATGTCTCCAATAATGATCAACACTTCTTTTTCCTTTCAGAGCCAAAGACTCTGTCAAACACTTTCATGTTGAATATACTGGATATTCATTTAAATTTGGCTTTAATGAATTCTCATCTTTGAAGGACTTTGTCAAACATTTTGCAAACCAGCCTCTGATTGGAAGTGAGACAGGTAAGCAATGAACAGACATTTGACCTCTAAGACATTATTTCAAGAAAAAGGGGGGGGGGGAGGGAGGCAGATTTAAATTAAATAATTTCATGGCTGTCATTTTTGTTAAATTTTCTGTATATGATAAACAATTTGATTTATTTTGAAACATATTTCCTGTTGTTATGACACTTGTTGTCATTGTTAAGGGCCGTCGAGTTGGTTCTGATTCATAGTGACCCTATATATGGTTTCCAAGGAGCAGCTGGTGAGTTTGAACCACTGATCTTGTTTTTCAAACTGACCTTACAGTCAAGTGCTTATCCTACAGCACCACACCAGGACCCTTTACTGTGCCATATGCTACATTAATCAATTGTGTGTGTGCATATCTGTACATACTTATTTCAGAATTTCAACGTTGTCTTTACAAGAAAATAATGTTCTTTGTACAAAGTAGGTATCTTCTCAGAATGTCTTTTTTGTATGTGAATTGAATAAAAACACATCGACAAATTCTTTAAAACAGTCTATGCATTTTATAACAATGTATGCAACAATAAAGGAAGAATAAAGGTAAACTCAACTTTTTGGTTCTTCATAATTGTAGGTATAGACAGTTTGCATGTGAGTGAAGACACTTTTGAGCATTGCTAAAAATAAAGTTCCCGCTTAAAATTCCTTAGAGATCACTGAGTATTGACTAGAAAATACTTTTGTGAATTATAAATTCTGTTTCTTTTGTTGTATTTTTTGTAAAAATTTTTTAACTGGAATGAAGTATGTCTGGGAAAGTTTTAAATTTTTTTATTTGAGTGGTTAGAAAAATTCAAGTTAAAAAGAAAACAAAGAGTATTCTGGTACTAGAATTATCCAACTTGTTCACCTTTGGTATTTAAATAAATTAAGTAATCGATCTTTTTTTTTTTTTTTAAGTTTTTATTGTGAATTGAGTGATGGTTTACATGGGAGAACATCAGCTTTACATTCATCTTGTCGTATTTCATTTCATTGCAATGATTAAGTCCCCTCCATGCATCATCATTCAACAGCATTTGCTTCCATTCCCTCTGTTTTGTTTTGTTTTGTTTTGTTTATGTACACCAAAGCACTCAGGAATATAAAACCATTCAAACAACCAAAGGGTATCCCTGCAAGCCTGCCACCCAACCATCAGCACACAGCTTCTCTCCATCCCTGAGTTTATAGTCCCCAGCCGCTCCATTTCTCCATGTCATCGTCTCTGCCTCCATCTCTGGTATCACTGCTTCTATGGACAGTGTCCCGCACTCTGCTCTTCTCCATTGATGGTCCCAGAGTCCTCCACTCCTGGACTGCAAGATCAACCACTCCCCTCCTTTTGTTACAAAATGTCTACCTTTACATTTGCAACATTCACAATCAGTCCTGATAGAAATTATTCACTATTGAACCACAAGAGTCTTATCCCCATCTCCTTTCACTAGCCACATCTAGACAAGTTGGAAATGACTCATTGAAGATTCTACCTTCCCCAATACCCTCTGAAACTAAGCTTCCTCTTGAAAACTTGTAAGCCAGTCACTTTGTGCCTTTTTAGGCCCCACCTAGCCACCACCCCCCCATTTTGGGTAGCTAATGTCTAAGATGCCCATCCCTGTCAACCCTGTGTACAGAGAGAGTGGGACTAACCCTTGCTGTAAGATTCATTCCCTCTTTTAAGTTACTACATCCATATGTAATAGGTCAAGTTCATCAAATTGTAGTGGATTACACTTTTTTTCCTCTTCTTTCTTCCTCTAGTTGAGTTCTGATCATCCAGCCATTGAAGCTAAGTCAAATGGGTACTGTCATCAAGTATGAGCATTCTTGTGCATCTCTCCTTACTTCATATCAGCTGGACGCTTCACTTTACTCTGTGTCCCTGTCCATGGGCGAAGGAATCCCCAGGTCTCACTATACTGCTGGTCAACCAGGTCTCAATCTAGGTTGACAGGTTGCATTTAGCCCACAGCTTCATTGCTGATTTTCCCCCACTCCCCCTTATTGGTATAACAGCGTGGTCACCAGCAAGATTACATGCCTGCTTGTGTATTCCCTTTGAGTTTCAGTCTTGGAAGGGGTTTTGCCCTGAAGTGACTTGATTGTTTGCCTCATTGGCTCCCCAGCGAACAACTTGCTTGTTCTTGTAGCAGTCAATCAGACTGCCATTATTGTTTTTTATTTTTCCTGCTGGTCTTTCTTTCAAGAAGGATATTCTGTTCCTCTAACTGCTCCAGGCTGGTCTGTGTGTCTTTGCAAGTGGAAAATACCCACCTCAGATGATTCTGGATGGGAGTCAGGATTCCACCTAAGGTCTTATGCAATGCAAAGGCTCCACAGGAATCCTTTTTCAGTGGGCAAGTTCTAGTCTCATTTTAGGTATTCCAATCAGTTATAAGCTGAAGATGGACTTACAAACTTTCTATAGTGATGTTTCTGACTATTCTTTTTGCTCCTCCTCAAATGTCTATTTTACAATAGTAGACAAGGAAAACTAAAACTCGTAAGACATTCAAGTATCTTAACATCATTTCCCCCTTTTAGTGGTTACGAATCGGGCTGCAAACCACAAGGTCAGAAGTTCGAAACTACCAGCTGTTTTGCAAGAGAAAGATGAGGCTTTCTGCTCCCGTAAAGATTTATAGTCTGGGAAACCCTGTACAGCGTCACTGTGAGTCGGAATTGACTCCACGGCACATAACCACCACCATCGCAACCCATTCAAACTATGCCTCAATCCTGTATCACAGAGCCCTGTTGTACCAGGTTGAGTAAATACATCACTATTTATCTCTGTCCCACTTAGTCCATGCAAATCTGCCTAAATGTTTTCCCATCTGCCTTGTTCTTCCATTCCCCTCCCCCTTCTTGTGTATTGCACTCCCCCAACACCCAAACTATTTTGTGTCTATTCCATACCCTGTGTCTATTCCCTACTATATGAGTAGATCTTCCTATTTTTGATTGAGAATCATAACTTTGTTTTTCCTAAAATATGATAAATATCAGTTAACCAAAAGCTGGGAAATTCCATGAACCTGTAGCACAAGAGGAACTCAAGACTTAGTAACACAGTTAGTTACCATGAATTTGTACATGTTCATTTTCTTGGTAAATGTGGTCATTAGGCTTTCTGTTAACTTCATTGTGGTGGGATGAGAAAGCTACCACTGGCTTCTGCCTTTTCTGCTATTTATGTGGTCAGGATAGGCCTTGATCTTAATCACATGGTGTCAAGGATAGACAAAAAGTGCAACTGTTGTTGTTAAGTGCCTTCGAGTTTCCCTACATAGGGTTTCTGAGGAATGACTGGTGGGTTTGAACTTCCAACCTTGTGGTTAGCAGTGCAGTGCTTATCCTACAGCACCACACCAGAACACCAAAAATGCACAGTGGAAACCATAAAATATTTGCCTTACTTTAAATGGACAATACTAGGCCCATAATAAAATAACCCAAATTATAAAATTGAAACTGTTGTCTTTTATTATGGTAGAAATTCTTTCAATCAGCCTTGAAAATTACTTCTTTGTCCTACTGTGGTGACTTGAATATTTTATTATTAGATTCATCCACAGTACACAGATTTCAGTGGCACTTCCAGACTAAGATAGACTGGAAAGAAAGACCTGGTGATCTGCTTCAAAAATTAGCCAATGAAAACTCTACATAGAATATTGCCCAATGTGGTGCTGAAAAATGAGCAACCTAGTTTGGAAGACATTCAAAGTACACAGTAGCCATAACAATGGCTCATGAACATACCAATGGATATGAAGATGAAACAGAACTGGGCAAAGTTTTGTTCTGTTTTACTTGGGGTGGGCAAGACTCAGTAGCAACAAGAGTTCGCATTTTTTTAAAAAATGGCAGGTAGGAGTATACTTATTTTAATTGCTACCTTGGCTTTAGGAAACATTTCAGTTTTTCAAATCATTTAAGACTTAATTCTCATTTGTGTCCAATCCAACACTCAGTTTTGTTCAATTGTTAGTCACTGGCAATGGAGAAGAGATTTTTGAAGCATGGACCATGCTTTGCTCATCTCTATTTTTGTTCTTCTCTATAACCCCCAGTTCCTGGTGAAATACATTGCACTTTGGGTGAATAAACATATGATGGTTATGAGTAGGAACTTTTTATAGGTTTCAAAACTACTATAGTCATTGTCTTTGGACCTCTTTTCCTTCTACAAGCAGCTGCTCCCTTCCTTAAAACTCTCCTCCTAGACCCTATTTTCTCTGGTAGCGTAGTGGTTACGAATTGGGCTGCTAACCTCAGCATCAGCAATTCAAATCTCCCAGCTGTTCCATGGGAGAAAGATGAGGCTTTCTGCTCGTGTAAAGATTAATAGCCTTGGAAACCCTGTACAGGATCGCTATGAGTCGGAACCGACTCCACGACACATAACAACAACAGACCCAATTTTCAATGCCTATGATCAGTTTCCGTGCTTCTTCCAGAACTTTCTCCAGTTAGGAAAAGAGTAGGTGTTCTGTCTACTAATATGTCAAGTAAGTTTCAGATTAGTGAATGGAGTGATTTCTGATTGGATCTTACTGGCAGTGGTTCAATGACCCAGTCAGAGGATGACCTAAGACTACTCAAAGGTACACTGGTGACCTGATGCCATCTAGTCAACTCCAACTCATGTCTACCCCATGTATGTCAGTGTAGACGTGTGTTCCATTAGGGTTTTTGATGGCTGAATTTTTGGAAGCACATCTCCAGGTCTTCTTAGTGTGAAAACTCAGATGAGTTCAGCATCATAGCATCACAGAAGCTTTCATTGGCAGATGGGTGTTGGATACACCTGAAGTGCACTGGCCAGAAAACTAATCCAGGTCTCCCTCATGGAAGGAGAGAATTCTGTCACTGAATCACCAATGCCTTCATGTTCCCAAATCAATTTCCACTGCTATCCAGTTGATTCCAACTCATAGCGACCCTGTACAGGGTTTCCGAGGCTGTAAATCTTTATGGGAGCAGGAAGCCTCATC